CTCTGCAGGAAGAGGCCGCATCCCAGGTTCAGCTCCTTCAAGTCCATCACGCTTCATATCCATGACGCTGAACTCCCTCACGCTCCAGGAGAACAGTCTGGTTTGTGATTCCATCCTCAAAGGTTTCCCGGTCCATAATTCCATCCTAGAAGCTCTCCCAATCCATAATTCCAACCTAGACACTCTCCCAGTCCATAATTCCATCCTAGAAGCTCTCCCGGTCCATAATTCCATCCTAGACACTCTCCTGGTCCACAATTCCATCCTAGAAGCTCTCCTAGTCCATAATTCCATCCTAGACACTCTCCCGGTCCATAATTCCATCCTAGACACTCTCCCGGTCCATAATTCCATCCTAGACACTCTCCTGGTCCATAATTCCATCCTAGAAGCTCTCCTGGACCATGCTGACCCCCCAGCTGGTGTCCACTGGGGCAGTGACGGCTTTTCCAAGCCAAAACTGTGCTGGGAATACGTTCACAAAGGATGGTTTGGGTTTTTTTGGTGGAATTTGGGCCACATCTGCAAGGACTGAGAACAGGAGCTGGGAGAAGATGGAAATAGCTGGAGAAATTATGGATTTATGGAAGGCTGGGGTGTTTAGGGCTTCAGCTGCCTCTGTCTCCCTTAATTTCTGAGGTGCCTGAGGCTTCTCCCAACCTCTGGGAGCTGCTGGCATCAGGGAATGGTGCTGGACACTCTGGAGAGGAAACCAGGAGCAGATTTTGGGGTTCCTCAAGGCCAGCGAGAGCCTGGAATCAGCTCTAGGTCCTTTAGGGACAGTGAAACCAAACTGGGATGCACAACCCAGGTAAATAGACCCAGATCCCCAACTAAAAATAACGCCTTTCCTGGGAAAATAGGTTTATTTATTAAAAAAACAACCCAGTTTGGAGCTGCAACACCTCAGGCTCAGAGAAAGGGTTGGCCATGGCCTTTGCTAATGACAGGGTTGTGCAAAACTCCCTCTTCTTTCCCCACAAAATGTCCCATCTCCTTTTCCAAACCAGGGAAAGACAAGCTTTTAATTCATGGATTAAAAAAAAAAAAAAAAAAAAAAAGAAGTCAGGTCTGATGGCTCAGGGCTGGGAATTTCACTTCATCCCCTTCCAGGTTTAACTTTGGGGTGGCATCGGCTGCCCACCAGGGCTGGGATGGAATATTTGTGTCGGGAGAAGAGAAATTTTCGGGTTTCCTGTTCTTTCCCAAACCAAAGGCTTTCATCTGGAGACTAAATTTAAGGGAAAAAGGGGGGGGAGAAAAAAAAGAGAAAAGGAGGAAACCAAATGCTTGTGGGGAAAGGGTTTTGGGGTTTTTTCTTTTTGGTTTCATATTTTGGGTCTCCAGCCCTCGGTGCCTCAGCCAAAGGTGGAGATGACGCACGAGTCCTGCCGAGGCTCTTTGGAAGCTCCTGCAGCAGCTCAGCCTCGGCTCCCCATGGCACAGATCCACGTGGGAGCCACAGGGATCGGGAGCCAGGGCTCAGAGACACCTGGGAGGTGGCCAGGGGCCAGAGGATCCCTGTGAGCCCTCCAGGAGCCCTCACCCTCCCATAGAACAGAATTTTAACCTTTTTAGGGGGTGAAAAAAAAAGGGGATTTGGAGTTTTTACACATTAACAGTGGCTGAAGAAAGTCTGAAATTTTAGAGGGTTTAAATCTTTTTGTTCCCTAAGATTTTTCTTTGGAATATCAACCCTGCCAGCCAGGACATGCTCCTGCTTTCTGGAATGGGGTCAAAGAGTCTTTTCCTATGACCCCTGTGGTGAGGATCTTCCCAGGAGAGATCCCCCTCAAGTTGGGTCAGGAATTTTAAGTGGAAACTTTCTCCTTTCCCAAACATCCGACACCGCTGGGCTGTCAGCAGGGTTGGCCCTCGATTGGAGCTGCTCCAGGATGATCCCAGAGGGATTCTGGCTCTCCAGGGAGATCCCTTCCAGCAGAGCTGAACGTGGATCTTATCCCTGACCACAAAACACTCCCTAAGAAAGGCTGGAGAAATCCCATCCTTGGATAACTGTGGGATGTGTTTTCCTGAGGATCTCCCCAAAACTGCTGCCTCTCTATTGGCCTGTCCTTTTCCCTTTGGAATGACAGACAAACCCAGCATGGATATGACCATAGATCAACTAGAAACCACATCCGGGATTTATTTTGCTCCAAGCCAACCCTACTTTTCCTCAGAAATTTTTCCTTGTAAATCCTTTCTGTGAATAGGAGCTGGAGCATCATAATGGTGAAGATTGCTGCCCTTCCCAGATTTTTCTTTGGGATCTGCAGTGAGGGAAGAGGTAACAGGATGAGATCCTCCCTCTGGATGAGGAGGGCGCAGGTCTGGATGTCCCAAAACAGACACCACATCCCAAACCCTGGATCATCCAAGGAGGAAAGCACTGGACCCAGCTGCTTTCCCTCTGTCCAAGGGCATCTGAAATCCCAAAATCTGCGGATGGCAGCTCCTCTTAAAAGTAGGAAGAACTTTTCCAAATTGGAAAGCTCTTTGTTGGGACCACAAACTCCTTAAACCATCTCGGGGGCAGTCTGGCAAATCCCTGCCTTGTTTGGGAACTCCCAAAGGGAATTTCTGGGGTGCTAAATCCTAAAAAAACATTCCTTGCAAAAGGTTGAGCGGGAATTAATTCTGCCTTTGGAATAGTGCAGATTAATCGGATCTAATTCTCCTCTGCTAATGAGTGAAGCCTCCAAAGCCTTGAAATCCAGGTGATTCCTCCTCTTGGACTATTTGGGACTGGATTTGCTGTGGAGGATGGAGCAGGGGGTCTGAGGAGCTCATGACAGCTTTTTCCAGGGGCAGGGTTTGGTCCATGGGATTAAACCACAGGATATTGGAAGTTTTCTGTCCCAGTCCCAGACCCAGGTCTCAAACCAGAACCAAAACCACGGGACCTCCAAACCCCTGGGTACAGAATTTTGCAGGGAACCTCTGACCAGGGGTGAGAATGATGAGGAGAACTCCACTGAGGAGGACTCCACTGATATCAGAAGGCTAATTAATTACTTTATTATACTATATTATTCTGTACTGTATTACACTGTGTTACATTACATCCAAACTGAATCTGCCAAGCACTCAACCCTGCACAGAACTGCCCAGAATCCCGTGGTTGTCACCCTCAGTCCTGACACAAACTCACGCCTGGCCCTGACAGGCCAAGGAACCAAAACACCCAAATCACTGTGGGTGAACAATCTCCACATTGCAGTATGCTTTTAGGCACAGAAAATGAGACAAGAATATTCTTGGGGAGAATTGTGCCTTGCTTTTCTCTGTGAAGAGAAATGTGGGGCCCTGACAGGCCAAGGAAGCCAACCACCATCGCTGCGGGTGAACAGTCTCCACATTGCATTCTGCTGTGGCACAAACGCAGGCACAGCAAATGAGATTAATGTTGTTTTTCCTTTCTCTGAGGTTCAGAGAATGCGAAACCCAGAAATATTCTTGGGAAGAACTGTGCCTTGCTTTTCTCTGCACCTGGGATCTGCTCCCTTTGCTCTGCCGTTTGGGAAAGAGCCCAAAATCCAGCTGTCAATCACATTCCCATCCCGGCCCACAGGGAAGGGGCATCGATCCCAAATGCTGCCTCAGAAAAGCTGGAAAAGCAGCGCGGGAGCAGGACCAGGTGGGCAGAGACACCAGCAGGAAATGCCTTCGCACATGTGCTCATTAACGAGGTGTTAATTGGGCACGGGGTGAGGGGACAAAGGAGCAGCAGAGGATGTGGCTTGAGGTTTCCCGATGGAAAACAGGAGGCTGGGAATCAAAGGAAAGCTGGGATTTTATGGCCCTTGCTGGCATTTCCAAAGGCACCGGGAGGGCAGGTGGTGAAGCTGGATTTGGGGACCTTTCCCACAGCATTCCCCGAGGGAAGGGAGAGCTGAGGTGCAGGGACATTGTGGCTTGTCCCATTTTCCCGGGAAAGGGAGGGAAGTGGGACAGGACGCCCACCCCTGGGACTGAAGGGTCCCTCAGGAATTAACACTTGGGAATGTGAGGGAAGGAGCCGGCAGGGAGTGAGGGCTTCGCTCCCCACATCAGAGAGTTCTCTCCTTCCTCCTCCCCCTCAATCCCACAGCTGGGAGCGATTTTCCAGCCCAAAATAGAAAGGAAGTGGAAGGAAGAGGCTCAGCTGAGCTCGGGCCTTTCCGAGGAGAGAGAGAGAGTGGGGAAGGAGAAAGGTCTTGGAGCGATGTTTTGTTTTCCCTATCACTGGTTGCAAGGGATTTTTGGGATTTGGAATAATGGCTTTGCTCTGGAACAAGTCCAGAGGAGCCCCTGGAGCTGCTGCAGGGCTGGAGCCGGGCTGGGAGAGCTGGGAATGTTCCCTTGGAGAGGAGAAGGCTCCAGGGAGAGCTCAGAGCCCCTGGCAGGGCCTGGAGGGGCTCCAGGAGAGCTGGAGAGGGACTGGGGACAAGGGATGGAGGGACAGGACACAGGGAATGGCTCCCACTGCCAGAGGGCAGGGATGGATGGGAGATTGGGAATTGGGAATTCCTGGCTGGGATGGAATTGCCAGAGCAGCTGTGGCTGCCCCTGGGTCCCTGGCAGTGCCCAAGGCCAGGCTGGAGCTTTGGACAGTGGATGCCCTGATGTCTAACCCTGGGACAGTGGGAGGTGTCCCTGCCCATTCCAGAGGGGTGGAATGGGATCTTTAAGGTACCTCCCAGCCCATTCTGGAATTCTGTGATCTCAGGAGCCCTGGTGGTTGGTGCTCTCTCCTGTGCACTGGGTATAACAACCAGGGCTATAATTCCACAAATTCTGCCTCCTCCTGGACCCTTGGCCTTTGGAATTGTAGAGCAGAACAAGTCTGGGACAGCTTGGCTTTTCAAACCTCCTCCCCATGGACTATCCTGAAAAACCGATTTGCTGGGATGCTCCGAGTGCCTCCTTCCCTCCCTGCTCCCAGCACGTGGGGCTGAGGGCAAGGGCTGGGAGGAGCCCTTGGGGTGACTCCAGCCCTGGAATTTGGGAGCACTCACCGTGCACCTTGGGCACCTTGGCTTTCAGGTGGCGCTCGCACTTGGCCTTGGCCTTCAGCAGGAGGAAGATCTGCTCCTCCTTGGTGATGACATCGTCGGCATCCACCTGCAGGGAGGGCACAGAGAGGTCAAACTCCGGGTCCAAACCTTCCTCTGCATCCATCATTTCCTCAGCCTGGCCCTGAGAATCCCAGTTTGCCCTGCAGCTGTGTCCCGGGGAGCAGCTCCTCCATGGGATTACCATCCCTGGAGGCGGCAGAGGAAGCACAGGCTGGGGCTGATCCCATCGTGCACATTCGCACGTGGAAGCAGCAATTTTGGGATGGAGCATCCCGGACTGCAGGGATCCCAGGCTGCTCTCCAGGAGGAAAACATTCCTACTAAATAATTTCATGCCAAGGACCCCTCTCCTCTTAGGAATTACAACCTCCCGTGCTGCGTCCTCCTCTGCACGGAGATTTCCTCCACAGGCATCAGGCTCCATAAAATCCTGCCTGAATCCCAGAATGTGTGGAGGGATCTGTCCCAGGGAGAGCTGGGAGCTGACAGCATCTCCCCTCCCTGTGGTCCAGGAGACCTTGGAGCCCCTTCCAGGGCCTGGAGGGGCTCCAGGAAAGCTGGAGAGGGACTGGGGACAAGGGATGGAGGGACAGGACACAGGGAATGGCTGAAAGAAGAAAGGTTTAGGTGGGAGATTGGGAAGGGATTCCTGGCTGTGAGGGTGGGGAGGGGCTGGGATGGAATTCCCAGAGCAGCTGTGGCTGCCCCTGGATCCCTGGCAGTGCCCAAGGCCAGTTTGGAGCACACTGGGACAATGGGAGGTGTCCCTACCCATGGAATGGGATGGGATTGGGATAATCCTTAAAATCCCTCCCAACCAACCCATTCCATGATTCCCTGCACTCCCCAAACCATCCCCATCCCAAATCCAGGTTTTTCCCTCCTTTCCAGTCCATTCCCTTTGCCAAGCCAGTAACAGGAACCAGCTGAGGGCCAATTAACTCCCGACACAAACTCCCTCCAAACGACATAACGAGGGTTAATGAATCCCAGCTCCCAAATAAACCAGGATTCCATTTCCCAGCGGGCTCCCAGGGGGAGGAACGGGGGCAGCGGACACGCAGCTGTGGAGTTAAATCTGATAAGGGGCCGGGAGTAAAACAGGAGTTGGGTTTTGGTGTCCTTGGAACAAGTCCAGCCTGAAAACCCTTCCCAAGCGGGAGCCGCTTCCAAACCGCGTCCACGTTAATGGGAACGATTCCAGCCCTTCCCAGATGTTTGGCCTGTCCACATTTGAGGCACCATCCCTCATTTCAGCTTGGATTGGGAACAGAAAAGCTCGGGGTCAGCTCCCGCTGGCGCTCGGGGCTGTACAAAGCCGGAGCGATTCCGCCAGAGCTGGAGGAGTTAGGCTGGATTTAGAGGGATGGGACCTCAGGAATTCCAAGGGATCCATCCCAAGCACGCTCAGCCCTCGGCTGCTCTGGCTGTGCTTGGAGGGATGCACAGAAAACACATTTTTATTCCCAGAAATAAAAGGGGAAAGTCTCCCAGGGCTGGGCCTGGAGCTGGGCAGAGACAGAGCTCCGAGCTCAGCTCGGGTTTAATTTCCTAAACCTCCCCTATCCTTAAAAAAAAATCCACCAAAACCAACCCCACATTCCCTCCTCTCCTCCCAAAAAATGGTTTAAATGATAAAAAAAAAATAAAAAAATCTATTTACAACCTGACTTTGTGGGTTTCCCCTTGGTCTAAGGGGTGGAAATGTGAACGTAAATAAATTTATGGATTAAACCAGAGATTTTCACTGAATCTGGTGTTTGAAGACATCAGTTCTCAAAAGCATTTGGGAAAACTGTGGGATGGTGCTGGATAATTCCCATTACACATCCAGGGAAAACCAGGCTGGGAGCTGGGAGTTCGGAACTTGGCATTCCGTCTGTCCCAACCCCTGGTGGGGACATTTCAGTGCCTCCATGGGGCTGAAAGATCCCCAGGGATTGGGGATTATCCAACCCTGGAATCCTCAGGTTTGGGATCAGTGGGCAGCAGGTGGGACAGCACAAACACCCAGAGCTCAAAAACCTGGAGAACCTTCGGATCTTCCAGCTGCTGGAGAAATTTCACCTCCCAAACTGCACATTCTCCTCATTTCCCTTGGATTTTCCTGCCCTGGATCTCCTGATTTTAAGGCAAAATTAAATCCCAGCTGTCCAAGGTGAAAGGAATCCGCAGGAATATTTTCCTTGTGATAAATTCCTGATCCAAGGCACGTTTGGCTCTGGCTGGGCAGAGCTTTCCCTTGGAAAAACAATCCCAACACCTGATCCAAAAAAATGCTGGGGGATGGCCTTGCTTAAACCATTTGTGCCAATTTTTGGGAATCTGGAGATTCCCAGGCAGAAAAAGAAGTGGCTTCACTTCCAGGAGTGCCCAGGATTTGGGAATGGGTGGGAAGTGCTGGGAATGAAGCAGCCACTGCTTTGGAGAGGGTTTGGATCCCTCTGGATGGGAGAAAAACACGGATGGAGGTTCCCAGGATGAGATGCCCGTAGGATCTGGAGAGAGGAGGGAAATGAATCCCTGTTTTGCAGGATTTGAAATTCAGATGAAGAGAGCAAGGACTGAGAAATCCCAACAAATCCCAGCCAGGATCAGACAAACGAGCAAAGCCCAAATCCAGCAGGAGCTGGGAAAATCCGGTGCCTGGATGGAAACTCTGGGGGCTGGAATGTCCTAAAGCGCCCCAAAGCTGGGAGGTGACAGCCCCTCGAGTGTCCCCTCTGTTCCTAAACTGCCACCTCCTGGCATTGGGCTAGCATGGAAAATTGGCCAAAAAAAGGGATGTTTTCATCAATATCCACGGATTTCCTCTCTTTTTAAGGCCACCTGTGCCATGCTGAGAATCCCAAAATCCACATTAATACCCAGAATTTGCTCCGTTTATTCCATGAACTCCCTGCACATTCTGCACAGGACGATGAAAAAGGAGATAAAAGGCACTGGGAATTTTTCATCCCAGTGAATTCCAGAGCCAAAACCTCCTCAAGATTCCCATATTCAAAAATTCCCTCCTCTTTTATCAAATTCCCTCATGCCTTCACCTTTTTATCCCCCCAGAAAAATCTCCCATCCTGGTAAAAACCTTTATCCAACAGAAAGGAATAAATACAGGATATATTTCTCCCAATAATCCCTACCCTGATGAAAAACTGGGAATATCTAGGAGGGGATTTACCAACCTGAGCTATTCCCTCAGAACTCCTCCTATGGTATATTCCTGCCCAGAGCAGCTGGAATTTATTCCATCCTCAAACCAGCACCTGAAATAAATTGGATCAGCCTTTTTTGGGATTTCTTTTTCCCCCCCACCCCATTTTTTTTCCCATTAATTTGCTACTCAGGAGCACTGAGAAGATTTTTGAGGAGGGATTTTTGCTGATGGGAACTCGAGGAGCATCCAGGGGCAGGCAGAAATTGTCCCAGACGGGTCCAGCTCCCAAATCCAGCTGTTTTGGAGGAGGAGGTCGAGGTTATCCTGTCCCTGCAGACTTAATCCCTTTAAAAGCTGCCAGCAAATCCCTTTAAATCAGCTTTCCCTAAATTTCCCCAGCAGAAATTCCTGCACTGAGTTCCTTGGCATTCAGTTTATCCAGGGAATAGTTTTATCCTGAGGGATGATTTTCCCTTCGTTCCCAAAATCCCAGGAGCACCTGGAAGGGGTGGAGGCCCCTCCCTGGGCTTCCTGATTTCCCAATCAAATCCCACCTGCTCCTCTTGCTCAGCCATCCCCTTCTCTCTTCCCAGGGCTGGGTTTTGCTGGAAAATTAAAGTTCCTCGTGGGGAAAAGATCTGGGAATGTTGATTTTCCCTCCTTGTCCGGAGAAAGCAGAAATGCCAAAGGGAAGAGGGACACGACAACTTTATCCCGAGGCTGTAAAATCCATTTGGATCCTTTTTCTCCTTGCCCCTCTGGAGCCTGTGGGGCAGGATGAGGATGTCCTCTGGAATTTCCATTCCCTGGCTGATGTCCCAGCCATGAAAGCAAACCCCAAATGTCCCTGGGGGGGTCCTGATCATCCTCATTTATGGGGCTCATTTTGGGGAATAACGGGGTCCTTTCTGTGCCACCTGCCTGGCAGCAGCTCAAAAAGCAGCTCCAGGCAAAGAGATTTGTTGGGATTGAGGGCAGGGAATGCTGGGATCTGCTGGGAGAGCACCAGGGAATTGCTGGGAAGGGGAAAGGTAGGGCAGGAGAAAGAAGGGAAAAGGGAAACCATTGCAGTTCTGGAATGGTTTGGGTTGGAATGTGTTGGAATTCAGGAGATCCCTCTGGCTGCCCTGGACTGCCAGGGGGCTCAGAGACCCTGGCACGGAGCCCAGGACGCCTGGGACTTTGATTATGACCCATGGAAAAAACAATTACCGACCTTATGCGAAGATTTACAGCCCATGAAAGTCTAAGTAGAATAATAGTTTGTCATGGGGTGGAAAAATAGATTTTTGGAGTTTTTAGAATGGGGGTTCAAGAAGCAAGATGGAGGGATCTGGGCGTGTCCAGCCTTTCTCCTTCTCCTTCTTGGCCTCCATCTCCTGCTGTGATGGTGGCACTTTGGGATTGGTTTGGAGTAGAAGCTCAGTGTCTAACACAGGTGATGGGTATTGGGAAGGAATTGTAAATATTGCACACATAGTTTTTAGTATAAAAAGATAACACAGCCCTGGGCAGGCAGAGTGCCTCTGTCTGTGCTGCTGAGCGGAGCTGGGCTGGACAGGAGAAAGAATTTTATAGATAAGGAACAATGAACAACAATGAGACCGAGAAATGCAGAGCTCTGACTCCTTCTCTGGGCACTGGGCTGGGAAAAGAGACTTTCCAACACATCTCAGGGTCACTGTGAGCAGCCAGAGCCCCGAGAGCAAGGGACCTTAAGGATCACCCCATTGCCTGGGCAGGGACATTTCCCACATCCCAGGGTGCTCCAAGCCCCACTGTCCAACCTGGCCTTGGGCACTTCCAGGGATTGGGAATCTCCGATTTGCAGTCAGCATGTGCCACTTATCCAGGAGAACTGAGATCTGTGGTGCCTTTCCAGGAACAGG